TTTGGGAAATAAATCAGCAGTGGGAGATTCTCTCTCTCTCTCTCTCTTCTCTCTTCTCTCTCTCTCCTCTCCTCTCCTCTCCTCTCCTCTCCTCTCCTCTCTTCTCCTCTCCTCTCCTCTCCTCTCCTCTCCTCTCTTCTCCTCTCCTCTCCTCTCCTCTTCCCTGCTTCTCACTTGCCAATAAATAAACAAGTTTTACTTATAAAACATGCGTTGTTCATGACTCATTGGATTATTCAGTTTGTCCATGTTGATTCCTGGCAGCTTTTAAGCCCTATCTGAATTCTTCCATTGCAGTTTTGGTTCCCTAGCTGTCCTTTTCTGCTTCAGCTCTTTCACATTTCCTCGCGGTTGATCTTGGAGGACTTCAACTGCAGTTTCGCAGATGACACATATTCTTTCTCCCGTTGACACACCACAGCACTTTTCTAAGATGTTCTTTCAGCCCTTGCCTGAGGTCACTTTATGGAGTCTTCCTCTCTAGACCCAAGATGATTGCTACAGTGCTTGTTCTGCACTTGTTCCCACTGACACACACGTGGGGGGAGTGGTGTGCATGCGCACGTGTTTGACTTTCATGCATCTTTTCCCTTTTGTTGTGATTCTTTTTCAAAGCCCTATGCATTTCACCATGTTTTTATCCTTGAACACAAAATGACATATTCAGAATCTACATGTATCAACAAAAAGCAGGTTTTTCTCAGCCCCACTGTTTGTTGTCCATTTGTTTTAAAATACATTTATTCATTTATTGATTTATTTAAAAGGCAGAGCATCAGAGAGAGATCTAAGCCAATCCAAAGCTGGGTGTCAAGAACTCCATCAAAGTCTGCCACACTGGTAGCAGAGGACAAGCACTTCCCTGCCTCCCCAGGACATCACCAGGAGGCTGAATCAGCAGCTGAGTAGTTGAGACCCAAGTCAGCCCTCTTACTTGAGATGTTGCATTGCAAATAATGGTTTAACCACTGCAACACGATGTCAGTTCTCACAGACTTCTTTTTGAAACATTTGTATTTATCTGTAGCTAAAACTTTTGTTGCTGTACACAATAACATTATTTACATACTATTATTTGGAGAATTAGCATTATATGAGAACATGGGAATTTATAAATTAAGTATTAAATGTATGGAGTATTTTGGTATGCATGTTGGGGTATTCATTTTGCTCTTCTTATTGAGTAAAGAGAAAAGGACTTGAATTATTTCCTCTGAGTAAAAATAGAATAAGGCAGTGGGTTGGAAAGTCAAGAATTCAGCATGTCTAATGCAGGTGGAGACCTTCCATGGGATTGGCACTCATCTGGAGCAGAGATCCCCAGAAGAAGGGCTTGGCTCCTCACCCTGTGCCCCAACTGCACCTCCACCTCAGGTCACTGATATTTTAATAGGTTAAAATACCACCCATGCATTTGATAAAAAGTGATAAACAGCAATTGTGGATGAAGCAACATACTGTGTGACTTGCCCTAGCACAGGAGAAAACTTGGGGGGGGGGGGGAGTTTAAGGAGCAAATACCCATTAGACAACAGACAACATTGCAAAGAATACTTTAAATAAAATAGAACACTCAGAATCTGTGAACTAGAGAGTAAGGGAAAACTTGGTGAGCAATGTGTTACCATGCTTCTCTGGAAACTGTGTCATTATTTATTAGAGAGTCATGGGGAGAGAAAGAGAAAAAAAAAGTACACGTGCTTCATCCACTGGTTCAATCCCCAAATGCCCACAACACCCAGGGTTGGGCCAGCTCAAAGCCACAAGCCTGGAACGAACTTCATTTCTCCCACATGGATGTCTGAGGCCACACACCTGGAACCTGCTACCTCCAAGAGTGTGAGTACCCAGAATCTGGACCAGAAATGAAAGGGATACTCAATCCTGGATACTCCAAAATGGAATGGTGCTGTCCCCAACACACCATTCCCAGTGGATCTACTGTCTTTAAACTGACATTGCCCCTTTTGCCCTACATGTTAACACTGCTAGATAAAAGGAACTTTGAACTGGTAAATAGACTTCCTCTTCTGGAAATTTTTATTACACAAAATGTCTTCAAAAAGTTTGTGGAAAGTATGCATTAGGAAAAAAACTTCATAGCTTTCGAAAATGTTTGCACTGAAATTAACTTATTTTTAATTTCATTTTTCCAAAATCCTCAAAGCTCTTTCTACCTCTGATTTCTGTACTGGAGAATCAGTTTTGCTGGTATAAGGAAAATGAAAATTCAAAAATTCTTTATTTTGAGTATAATTTTCAGTGTCTAATAAGCTTCCACCCTGAGTAGTTATGGTGAACTAAGGTAGAATCTTCTCCTTGGACAGTCTGGCTCTGTGGTTCTTTAGATAGAGTAGATGAAATATTAAAACCTGGGAGAGTGGGCTAAGCCACTGCCTGCAACACCAACATTCAATATGAACACCAATTCAAGGACCACTGCTCCGCTTCCAACCCTGCTGCCTGCAAATGCGCCTAGGAAAACCTCTCACTCTCTCTCCTCCCCCCCCCTTTTTTGTTTCTCTCCCTCTTCTACTCTGCCTTTAAAATCAATCTCTTTTTTTTCACATTTTTATTTCTGCTGCACTTCCATTACACCTCCCTTAGGTACAGTCCACCATGCGTTGAGAAGGAAAAAAAGAAAAAGTTTAAATAAAATAAAATGGTAAGTCTTCATCTCCATGGTGTTGCCAAACTTGTAGCAGGGGTATCAATGTGATGCTAGGTTAGTGCAAAAGAGTGTCCAATAACCAATCTTTTTTTAAAAAGAAACACAAAAATCAAGAACACTGCTACAGGGCTCTTTCTACTGTTGTTACCACCAAAAAGTATTTTACTTGATTAAACTATAAGAGTTAACACATGTCCTCACATCCCTTAAGTTGCCCTTAGGTAATTTCATTCAGTATGTAAATAGCTGTAAAAGAAAACCAAATGGAGAAGTAAGAGAGGGTAGGAGACAGCAGTGAGTACGAGGTGAGGAAATGGATTCCAGAGGAGTTGGGTTGGCAGAAATCTCGTGATTCTAAGCCCAGTGGGAGACAGTAGAAAGCAACAAGACAGATGGGAAACTCACGGCTGGTACAGGTGACTCCCTGATTCTTCCTTGCTTACTGGCCCCAGTCAATGTTGTCAATAGAAATTTCTTACATATTTGAGCAATCAGTTGTGTGTAGCATTGATATGAGTTTGTTTTTTGATAACCCTTCCTTTGTACTTAGGATGGAAAAATGAAAGAAATTATTACTGGGGCAAAATATATGTTTTTTCCTATGCAGCAAACATATACTGTTAATTTTACAGATCTATGTATTTTGACATTTTTGGATAAAATATTAAAGCAAATTTTTTCACAAAAACATCATCCAATGACATATTATATTTATTTAACAACAAAAGAAATTTATTAACTAAGGAAACCCACTTTAATCAAAGAAGAGTAAAGAATAAATTTACAGATTTTTTAAAAGATTTATTTATTTATTTTTATTGGAAAGGATATACAGAGAGGAGGAGAGACAGAGAGGAAGATCTTCCATCCAATGGTTCACTCCCCAAGTGGCCACAACGGCTGAAGCTGAGCCAATCTGAAGCCAGGAGCCAGAGCTCTTTCAGGTCTCCCACGCGGGTGCAGGGTCCCAAGGCTTTGGGCCGTCCTCAACTGCTTTCCCAGGACACAAGCAGGGAGCTGGATGGGAAACGGGGCGCATGCAAGGCAAGGACTTTAACCACTATGCTATCGTGCCGGGCCCAAATTTACAGGTTTGACCAGAAATATCTAAGAATCTTATTTTTTCTCATTGTTGTAAATAGATACAGAGAATGTGTGTTTTTCCATTTTCCCCCACATTCTTCAAATTCTAAGAACTCTCAAGATAAATGAGGAAAACATGTCTACCAAGTAAAAGAATTAGAACATGAGAAACACCAGATAATGCCAGGCCTAGGTGCAAATCTCAGTGTCTTGTAGGCTTCCTGTCACTGGTTCAGTGTCTCACCATAATATTAAGTCACACATGGAATAGAGTCTCAAAACGTTAACTTCTAAAGGAGTCATGGACAGGTTAAACTTTTGACTACCTGACCCATACAACTTGCATTCTGGAGAAACGATTGCCTCAAATGGCCTCTTATCATCAAATATGAACTGCTGGGTATTGTGAGTTTTGACTACCAAGAAGCCTGGATGAAGGAAGAGAATGCGTCCCCAACTGAACAAAAAGAGAAGCTGAGGAAGGGGGCCGGTCCCAGGAAAGATGAGGTTAAGCTACGCTCTCCTGCAAAGCTGCCCCCTCCTCTCCAGAGCAAGGCAGGGGCAAATGGGAGGAAGACAATCACAAGTTAGGGCAGGGAAACTGGGCACAACCAAGGACAAGGAAGTGACCCTGCTGCAAATGAGGCCGCCAAGTTCCCTGAGCTAAATGTCTCAGTGGTCATTCCAAGGCGTCCAGCCAAGGCGCAGGCACAAACACAGATGGCCTTCCTAAAGAGCAAAGGGGCTGGCTCTGAGTGTCTGAATGTGGGAATCATGCCTCCAGTGAAGTTGAGCTGCGCAGGAAGCTGCCAACCCCTGAGGAGTTTCCAGGTGCATGTGCCCAGGTCCATAGGGCCCAGCCTGTGACCGGAGTACAGAAAGAGGTTATTGGCAAACCCTGCCCTCTTTTTGTCAGGGACTTAGGAGTAGCTACTTAGGGGAATTATCCAGAAGAGGATGGAGGAGAAGTGGGGGAGTGCTTCAAGACGCCCCAGAGAACTCAAAATAGAAAAGTAATCCCCATCTGCCTGAGACCAACTTGACACATTCTGGAGTCCATGACAAATTTACAAGACAAACATTGTATCCCGTTCTGTTAAAAACAAAAGGTGGTAGAATAATTCTGAAGCACCACCGAATGTACACCCTGAGCCCTACCTCCAGACAAGGGAGAAGACCTCACAAGACAACAGAAGGTACAGGAGGCAGAAGCAGGGCATCTTGCCCAGTGATGCCCATGATTACAACCCCCCCCCAGGAGACAGCTGAGTGTCCAAAACTCATTTCAGCCAAACATCCTGACCATCTGTGAGTTTGCCATCTCTAAGAAGTGGTCTATTGATATTTGAACTCAGGATTCCTGCCTAACAAGGTAGTTGAACAAAATCAAGACCAATGTGAATTGTGTTGACCTTGCAGTCTCAGAGAGTAAATTTATGTATTTGAAAGTTTGGAGTGGGTGGGAATATAGAAAGGGAACAAAGATCCTCAGTACTGTCAGATTCGGATGAAAAGTAGCTCTTGGGTGTGAGAGAGCAGGACTCGCACCCAGGTTGACAACTGGAGGAAGGAGGTCAGCTTCAGAGTCAAGGCAAATGACAAGGCAAAATGCACATGCCTGGGTGAGACCGGGAAGAGCACAGTGCCCACTTTCCTCCAAAGTGGAGAGGGCACATCCTTTCAGGGAGAGCAAACCCTACCATAGAAGAGAATGCTCTGGGTTTTGTTGTGCCTGATTAAAAAGAGGAAAGGGTGATTGGCGTTAAACTCTGTCCAGGATGGCACTGACATCTCCATGCCCACAGCACCACTGCCTGCAGCTGCCTCTGTGCCATCCTCATCCACCTCCACGAAGGCTTTGTGGACAACCTTGGACAAATACAGATTGGGGCTTGAAGAGATTCTGGTTAGATCAGCCTTTCTTTCATCAAAGATATCGGTAATGCCCAGGTCTTGGAGAATGGAATTGAGATCGTAAGTATCTTCCAGGGTGAACTGGGGAAAGGAGACAGCAACCTTCTCTTCTGACATATTTTTTGAGCTGCACCAAGCTGCTACTTTTTCATAGGTGATATTTCTTTCAAGCTATAAAAGGAAGAAAGTAACATTTAGGGTCAGATGTCCAGTCTGCAAAGAATGCCGCCCCCCCGCCCATTGCTTCCAAGAGCCTACAGCCATTTCAAGAGTCAGAGCGTCAACCTTCCAATCTAAATCTCAAAATAATCTACTTCCATGTTAGGCCCCTCCAAGAAAATCTCTTTCCTCTATAAATTACAGGATAGTTTAGCTGTGTTTGGTATTTGATAGACCAGTGTCCAAAGCCAAATCAAGCTCAGCTGATTACTTCATTAGGCTTAGGGAATCTCATACATTCTGAAACTGAACTTCTTCTATTAAACAGAGATAACATAATTAGCGTCTTGCAAGGACAAGAACACATAATGTAGGTAATGTGTTAAATGCAATGTAGGAACATAAATTTGAATAATGACTTTGATATTCTAATAGCTCTGGTGGTGTCTCTCCCCACATTTTTTCTCCCTCCATCTCTTCCTTTAACCACATAGCACTATGTAGCTGTGTTTCTCCTGTCTTCACTTAGTTCTTCCTCACAAGCCATGTATTCCAGTACCAGCACCTGTATTTCTGTCAAGGTCATGCACCCCAAACAGGATTCAGCTAATGGGCCTGTCACTGGACTACAGCAAGGATCCCCCAGCAGGCAGGATAGGCACAAAAAGGAAAAACTCTGCCATTTGTGGTGGTTCTTAAGTTACTCAGCCTCCAGTTTCCTTGGTGTTCACAAATGTTCCAGGCGGTTATGGCATTGTAGAGTCCTGTTACAACGTTTTTAGCTATTTTACTTTACGGCAAAATGAACACGAAATAAATAGCTCACAGAATCTAGACCTTTAGATAGTCTTCAGTTCCGGGTAGCACAGGTGTCCTCCCTCCAGCAGCGACTGTGTGGTCCACAGCTATTCTGCGGAGTCATGACCATGGGGTCAGGGGGCACACTCCACATGTCATGACCAAGGGGTCTGGGGTGGTATACTCCACAGCTCTGCAGTCATCACCATGGGGGCTGGGGGCACACTTCATAGCTCTGCAGAGTCATGACCAAGGGGTCTGGGGTGGTTTACTCCACAGCTCTGCAGTCATCACCATAGGGGCGGGGGGGTGTAGATCGCTTCACAACTTTGCTGCAGAGTCATGACCGTGGGGAGTGAAGGAGGCACTCCACAGCTCTCCTGCAGAGTCATGACCATGCAATGTGCTCCACAGCTCTACTGTAAAGTCATGACCATGGGAGTGGTATGTTCCAGAGCTCTACTGTAGTCAAGACCATGGCGGTGGGTAGTGGATCGCTCCACAGCTCTGCAGAGTCATGACCGTGGGGTGCGCTCCACAGCTCTGCAGAGTCATGGCCGTGGGGTGCGCTCCACAGCTCTGCAGAGTCATGGCCGTGGGGTGCGCTCCACAGCTCTGCAGAGTCATGGCCATGGGGTGCGCTCCACAGCTCTGCAGAGTCATGACTGTGGGGATTTACCTCGCACAGGCTCTGCAGGTTGTCTTCAGAGGAAGAAGGCAGCAGCACGAACATGCTGAGCTCCCCCTTGGTGTACTTTATCTCCAGAATCTGCATTTTCAGCTCTTCCACAAAGCCCAGTTTAAACACACCCTTCTGCTTCATCATCTTCACACTCTTCTTCTCATTCTATAGGAGGCAAGATGGGACGTCACAGGTGGTCCCCAGACTCCAGAGTCCCAACCCCTCTGAGGAGGGTGGCTGTCTAAGGTGAGACAGATCTGCATGGGAGCCCCGGAGCCATGCCCATGATCCCCACAGAGAGGCCTCCCCATCACCACTCAGCCCTTCTCTTGCCAGTATCTTCTCTTCCCACAGTTTTCTCACTTCTTTAACTCCCAGACCACCTTCTCTACAGGCTTCTACCCATATCCTAACCAGCATAAGCCCCCCACGCCCCAAAAAAGGCACCAATGAAAGTCAGGTGCTGAATTTTATTAATAACAAAAACTTCTCAGCTGAATCTCAGAGATTTAAGTTTTAGACTGCAGTCAACATACAGCAAATAGTTCTCCAAGAAGATTACAAGTGGACTATCTAGAAAACCCTGAGATCAAATCAAGTACCTGATTTAGAACAAAGTCGGCCTCGACTGTGTGTTTATAGTCGAAACATCTATCCCATTTGGCTTTGAAGTAAACAGCATTCACCAGGACCAGCACAGTAGCATCATTGATGGTGTTCTTGCTGAAGAAGTCCTTGATTTTACCTAAAGAAAAGATCCCCAAGGATATCCAGAATTTGAATTATTGTAATAGCATACTTGTAGACAGATTTTTTTTCATGAAGCTTTACATCTCCAGGTTACAGAGTGTCACGTCAGGATCTAACTCACAGGGTTGGCACTGTGGTGAAGCATGTTAAACTACCATTTGCAACATCAGCATCTCAGAGTGCTTAGTTGAGTCCCAATTACTCTGCTTCTTTCTTTTTTAAACACTTATTTTTGTTTGAAAGACAGAGTTACAGCGAGAATCAGAGACAGAGAGAGATGTTCCATCCACTGGTTTACTCTCCAAACGGTTCCTTGGCTAGAGCTGGCCCTATCTGAAGCCAGGAGCCAAGAGCTTCTTCTGGGTCTTCCACATGGGTGCAGAGGCTGCAGGACCTAAGCCATCCTCCTCTGCTTTCCTGGGCCACAAGTATGTAAGCTGGAATGGAACTGCAGCAGCCAGGACACAAATCAGCACCCATACGGATACAGTACTGCAGGAGAAGCCTAGACTACACCATGGCGCCAGGTCCTATTCCATTTGTGATCCAGGGTACTGCTAACATGCCTGGGAAAGGAGATGATGTTTGGGATGTGAACCAGTGGATGCAGAATTTCTCTCTCTCTCTCTTTCTCTCTCTCTCCCTCTCTCTCTCTTCCCTTTTCCTCTCTCTCATTTTCTCTCCTTCCATCTCTCTTCACCCACAAGATACTATGTAGCTGTGCTTCTCCAGCCTTCTCCCTCTCTCACTCTCTCTTTCTTTCTCCCTCCTTCCTTGTTATTCTACTTTTCAAATAAATTTTTTAAAACTTTTTAAAAAGAATTAACTCAAGTAAATTACACCATTCAGAGCCGTGTATAACATCAAAATGAAGTTGAGGGAAGATAGTGATGGGAGGGAAAATTCTTTCACTCCAACCTGGGGGAAGATTCAGTTCAGAGCATGTAACTGATGGAATCTCCCCTGGTTCTCTAAATAACTTGTGGTTGGTATTTATCACCAGACAGCTTGGGCCACGGTTTATCTTTCTAATTATAGATCCAACCACCTGAGTATTCTGTCATCTCTTTGAGAAAATAACTTACAGCATAAATTTTCTATTTCAAGCATTCATCACAGTATAGATGTTCTAATCAGAGTATTGTCATCTTTTAAAGTCACTCCCCATTCTTAAACTTCTCAGGCTTCCATTTGTTTATTATCTAAAACAAAACTAAAATCTTTTATACTGGGTACATTCTTACTAAGTCACTACAGATTTACTGGAATTGTCATATGTCTGAACCCCACGCAGAACAGTTAAAAGGTGAGTAACAGCTGAGGATGAGTGCCCAGGAGGGTCAGGGCACACAACTCCTACCTATGGCAGCCAGAAAAGCATCTTTGATGGTGGGTCTGATGACAAACCAGTTAGAACACTAGACTGTATTTAAATGTGACTGGAAAGGAATGGCCAGCTTGGGTGCCCAATGAATGTAGAGTCTCTCCTTTCTTCCACTTAAAGACCTCTTTTTCTTTCTTTTTCTTTTTATTTTTTTGTTTTGTTTTTTGTTTTTGTTTTTGTTTTGCTGGGAGCTGAGAGAGAATAAAAGAGGAGTTTCATATTCCAACACTTCTCCATTTCTGTAGAACTCCAAGTATCACTCTGGCACTACCTCCACACCTCCTTTCTGTCGGAAAATGCCTCTATATTTAGTGAAAAGCAAGTGAGAACATGACTGTGTTATGTCCAGGTCCTCTGAGTAGCTGGGGTCTCTTTGTAATATTGGCTTTTTACATTTCAAAATCATTGGGAAGGGTTGACATCTTGCTCACATTGTGGCTGACTGAAAGGCACTTAACCCCCTGTGTGATCCAGTAAAGAGTAATAATAAATAGCAATAATAGAGTTCAAACTATCTGATTTTGTCCAAGATCAAAAGAAAAATCTGTAGCAGTTGGTTTGGTCTTTCTCACCTTGACATTGAGATTCAACCCAGAAGTTAATCAGTTGTCTGGAATTCTCAGGGTCTTTCCGAAAATCAACACTTTCAATTGTTGTGTGATAAAATTGAATCACATCTTCTACATATTCCTGTTCAATTGGAATAAATGGAAAGGAGTGCAATAAATGCAAACAGTGCTGCCCACCGTCAGAAGGCAGAGATTCACAGGAAGTCTAATGAGACAGGCCTGGACACTGAACACGTGGAGCACGTGGGTCCATCCTACCTGCTCACAGTCTCAATTTGCAGTAACAACGCTTCAACTGCGGCAGGAGTAATTAAGACACAGAACATTTGTTCACGAAGCAGTTCACAGTCCCAGGAGCAAGTACCTTTTCCCACTGACACTCTTACATTTGAACAATCCATTTGTGAAGACATCAAAAGCTAAACATGAAGGAACTCAAGGAGCTAACTGAAGGCGTTTCTGTTTACAAACTAAAACCAACTTACTGCTTATAGACTTACTAGCTAGATGATATGCAAAATGTTTCAGAAATAAATAGGATGAATGTTATACAACTTTTTAAATGAAATTAATATCATAGAATCATGTGTTTAAAGTTGATGGAATGGCAAATATCTCCAATACATTTGTTCAATGTGTTCTACCAGGATTATCAAATAAGTAATGCATTACACAAGTGTCATTGATTTATACACTTCTAATAGATAAATGGTCTGATACATGATTTTATATCTCAAAAAATGTGGGGTCTGGGAGCCAGCAGAGTGGCATACCAGGCCAATTCTCCACCTGCAGCACCAACGTCCCATAAGGGCACTAGTTTTTGCTCCATATGCTTCACTTATGATCCAGTTCCTTGTTGATGCCTTGGGAGAGCAGCAGAGGAGGGCTCTAGTCCCTGGACCCGTGAACCCACATGGGAGGTGCAGAAGTTCCAGGCCTTAGCTTCAGATTGGCTCAGCTTTGGCCATGGGTAGAAAAGCCAATGGGAGAGTGAGCCAATGGGTAGAAAATCTTTCTTTCTTTCTGTGTCTTTAATTCTTTCTGTAAATATACCTTCCAAATAAAAATAAACAATTTTTATGCACAGAGTTTCTTAACATTAAAAGTTGTATTTTCTAGCAACAGAACACAACTGTTTTAGTTAGAAGAATGTTGTCTCCTTCCAGTGCTCACCAAATGTGTCCCATATGTATCAGTGGTCACATTCTTCATGTTCATGGTTTAGCAGGTGGCTACTTCTGGTGACTAAAGTATAACTAGAAGAGAATGAAGATGGCAGAATAGGGTAAGGACAGGTTTAAACAGATGGAAATTAGCCAGTGTGAAGGAGAGAGGGCGCATTCTAAGAAACAGGAGAGGACAGAATGACAGCAGAGAGACACCTAGAGACTGACAGACTCAGGAAAGCAGTGGACACAATGGTGTGGTGTTGCAATGACGGATACCCCAGAGGCATTCAGCAAGTGGCAATCTGAACTACACTGGCAGCCGGAACTCCACCAGCAACAAGGTGAGAAGAGAGCTCAGGCAGTGAACCCAGACAAAGAATTGCCCATCCTGCTAGTCTGTTTGATTTGACCAGAGGCAAAGATAGAGAGAGCAACAGGTCCCAGATGGGTGGTGTGGGATCAGGGTGGATTTCACAGCCCAGTCTGCCCCTGTACCTGAATCAGGTACCATTTTGTTTAAGCAGGCAGTACTACAAGAATCAGGTGTCATTTTATTTATGGCTATGTGGCAGTGCTACACAAGCAGTGAGCTGGCAGTGAATTCATTTCTGGCTCAGTGAACTGCAGCAACTTGGCATCCTACAGGTTCCACCCAAAATAGGTCTGAGTAGCTCTCAGACCTGACGGCCAGCAGATCAAAAACTCTAGTAGTAGCACATTTGTACAGTGTGGAATGACTTTAAGACTGCAGGGACAACAGTGAGTTGTGCATGCACTGAGCTGGGAGCGAACTCACTGAGCTCAGTGCATTGCACTGGTTTCACAGGGAAAATAATCTCAACTTTGTTATAGTGCGGATCAAAATAGGTCTGTGTAGCCCTCAGATCTAACAGCCAACAGATTCAGGCAAGATCAGCACCTCCAAAACCCAGTTATATATGATACCTGGGACCTGCTCTAACCAGAAGTAGAAGAAAGTTTATACAGACAACAGTGCAGCCTCAGCACGATATCGCAAGAGGTAGAGAGTGGTGAGCCAGGAGCTGAGGCTATGGAGACCATGGTGGAAGTCTAACATAAGAACCCAGACCCAGAACTCACTGGAGGGAGTGGCACATGTGACTGCAAACAAAGAGCCATGTGCCAACTGCAATAAGTAAAATCAAACTGTAGACCTGTGGGTGACAGAGCTTAGAAACCTGTCCCAAGAAGAAGAATCTGATAACTAGAAGTACAATGAGCAAGACCAAAAGAAGAGATAGAGGCACAATTAGTATTACTGAAGACTCCCATTCAAAGGAGCAAAATCCCTTGCCAATGGAAATGTATCATAAAACTGATAATAATAATAAAAGTAAAAAAAATAAAATAAAAAGAAGAACTAGAGCCCAAGTTGAGACACATCTCACTCTAAACACAAAACGATTTAGCCTCAGTGACCAGACCTGCCTCTTGGGCTTCCAACATGCTCTTCTTCCACTACAGCACCATTTTTGAAGAGCAAAGTGTACACAATTTCACTGGGGTATGGTGGCCTGTTTTGGCACAGAAGATATTTTCAGAGGACGGCTCTGAATAAGCCAACAGGAATGCTTCATTTTGACAGGAAAAGATTGGCCATAAGAGAACGCCATTACCAACCCATTCATGCTTCAAAGCTATTGCTCACATGACCTCTTTTCTACTCACTCAGTTCCAGACAATGGATCACATAACTGCTCACTCTGAAAATTGGGAGACAAAGACAAACGTTTGTGACAGCGAGATGTACATCCTGAAAAGCCACCAGTCCACAATACACACCCTTTCAGAAAGATCTGTGTACAGGCAGCAGGTGAATACTCTAGCCACTCACTTGTCTTTAAGTAGCATGCTACACAGTAGCTATAATCATCCATGCACAACTCACCGGACTGATTGGGATTTCCTTCTCTCCGTAAAGTCTGTTGGCTATACTCATGGTGTAATCAGGTTTGATTCTGTCTAATTTGGAGAGAAGCTTCCCAAAGTAGCAGCTCAGCAGTTCATTCTCTTCCTTGGATGACTCAGTCTAAACAAAGAACACACAAAATGTGATTAAATGTGTTACTTTACATATGTTAACAAAAAAGGTCATGTTCCTTGTAGGGAGCATGCTGCGAAAAAGAGAGGAATGAGAGGTGAGAAGCTGCCCTCCCCTTCACAGATGCTTCCAGATCACTGCCAAGATCATGTATAGAAAAGATAAGTGTGTCTCAGGAATGCACGCTATAGTTAGATTGGGGCACTTAATTTCCCCCTGTACTCAAAACAGCGCAAGAAACACAATCTTCTCTCCACACCTTCATTCTGCAGTAGGAATAATCAGGAGAAAATCTCTGATCCTCCTTCTGGCATGAAACAGCTGACAAAAATCTGGCACGTCTGTACAGGTTTCAGCACAAAGCAGAATATCCACAAACGGGGAAGAATTTCCCTGCTGACGCTTTGTGCTCACTGCCCTTAACCTTCAACCGTGCTCCATCCTGGCAACCCACCACCTATAGAAGCAGGTGGGTAATGGAGACTAGGATCCAATTTTTTTTTTTATCATGAGTAGAGGATATTACATCCTACTTCTTAGAAACTTCACTCACAGTCAAAGTTCTATAAGAAACACAACCAAAAAGGAATGGCAGAGCCTCTGAGGACACAGCTGATGTTGGCAGCCAGGACCTAATGTTTCTGGAGAAGCAACAACAGCCAAATACATCTCAGCCAGAAGGAGCAATTTCTCAGCCAGCGGAGCTGGAGTTAGGGCAGCAGCTCAAATGCAGACTCACCGATCCTGTGGCTCCCTTCTGCCCTTCTGAAGGACTGTCAGCTGGCACTCTTCCTGTGCTTTTCCTACAGGGAATGGGCTCTTTGTCCTCTTCCTGGGAAATTTCATTGAAGTGTAGCACCTACGTGACATTGACAGGGTCTTTGAGATAAAATGAACAGTATGACATCACATAGATGCAGAAACATTGCCATGTGACAGTGAGTGATTGCATAGTTTCTTTTCTTGCGTTGTGAGGGGGAAGGGATGGGAAGTGACTGAATGCAATGCCACATTGCTACATGCAGAGATGTAGAGCCAAGCTAACAGTACAGCAAAGGGCTCTAAAAGTTGCACCTAGGCTAGAGCCTTTTAAAGATGACCAGTTAGCATTGACTGTAAATATTAAGTATTTGTAAATCTGGAAGATAAATTTAAAAAAAAAAAAACAGAAAATGGTAAAACACCTCACTAAAAATTTGTATTAATTGAATGTTGCTGTGATGTTTTAAACATATTTTAAAATAAAATTTACTTTTAAAACTAATCCTATCTGTTTTTAATTTTTAATGTGACTGTTACAATGTCTTAGTAACATTTGTGTTTGGATTGGGCATCACTGGCCTAGAGTATTAAATCCAACAAGGCACAGCAGGTGAACCGGCCAGAGAAGAAGGAACTTCCAAAACAGGTCTGGAAGATAGACACCGTACTCTGCAGCTAACTTTTGATAATGGAATAGAAAAATAAAAACACTGTGAAGAGATGAATAAGCAGAATCATCACAAACACATTCTGCCTTAATCTATAAATCCTACTCCTCCACATTAGGGGGGAACACCCTAATTCACACCTAATCCTTCTGCTGTGCCTCAGATCCAACCTCGGGAGTGTGTAGATTAGGGAATTATTCTTGTCACCTTCACACATTCATTGTGCCAATACTCACGGGAGCCTACTCTAAACCAAGCACTGTTCTAGGATAAAATTCCTGTCCTGTAGGAAACCAAATCTGAGTGGAGGTGTTAAACAAAAAGCAGCACATGTAATAACTAATGACATATGGATTGTGTCACAAGCTGGAAAATGTTATGTGAGGGAAAGCAGCTAAAATCCCATGGGATTAAAGGATACAGCATTAAACTGGGGAGTCAAAGTAGGTCTCCTAGAGGAATTGTACACTGATAAGGACTTGAAAGACAAGTGAGTTAGGAGACTCAAGGGAAGAGCCATCAACCAGGTGGAGCTGGAACAAAAGCCCCAAGGCAGGGAGGACAGTGTGACAGACACACGGGTAGGTGAGCAGAAGGTGAGAGATGGAGTCACAGGCTTGATTGTGAGTCAGATCCCAGAGCTTCTTGGGCCATTGTAAAAAACTGGACTTGTATCAGGAGCCAACTCAGAATTCTGAGTTTTCGAACATAAAAGAAGCAGAATGTTAACAATTTTCAAGGGATCTTTTAGGCTGCCATGTTGAAAAGAGACTGTCAGCGGAGCAGGGAAGCCACTGGAGACTATCGCAGTGTCCAGCTTAGAAGAGATGGCCTCAGAGAGACAGTGAGAACTGCCTGGGTTCTGCTTCTACTGCAAAAGAAAACCCAACTGGACTATCTGACAAACGTGTTGTGAAGTGAGAAACACAGGAGTCAAGGAGGATACCAAGGTTCCAGCCACCGCGTACAGTCCTGGGGTTAGAAAATATTTCTATTTAGCAAACGGAATGAATGAGGGAAAACACATGCACATATTTTAAAATCGCTAATAACATTGATATCACCAACTGTAGAGGGGAAGAAGGACAAACACGCAGATATAGAATAAGAGAAGATGAAGAAGGAAAGCTGTCGACCTGTCAGACAGCTTAGAAAAAGGTCGTTAAGGAAAAAGAGGTTCCATCGACCTTGAAGAATGAGAGGATTGAAAAATAGAACAAGATTTGAGCATACAGCTGAGACTCACAGGCACACATGCTCCAAGCCAGCCCAGGTACCGTGAGTACCTCAGCACGCCCAAGTGGGATGAGCATCTGCCCTGAGCATGAACTCGGGGTGCAGGACCCCACATGGATACACACCTCATCAATCTGACGACCACTGTCGCTTCTAGCCCCCAGGCGGACCATGCCAAGGGCAGCAGAGAGGCTCAGAGGACAGAAAAAGATATTCTTGCGGCAATCATCTCGGCTGATCTCTTGAAAAATGTCAAAGCAAAATTTGGTGTTTGCCGCAACGAGAGAGTCCATTGTGAAAGTAGTGACAGCTTAAAACTGAAAGAGAGGTGGAAAAATTAAAGCAAAATATGTAAACAAGTCTTACTTTAATTATCCACAATACAATTATCTAATACGCTATTAAAAATTAAGATCATTATCATATCTAAGTGTAGATATTGAAGTCAGTATTGATACAGAGAGAGGTTTACTTTATTTGAATGGGGTGAATTAGTTTCTTAGAACTGCCACAGCAAATTAGAACAAACAAAGCAGCTTTACCAACAGGAATTTGTTCATCCACAGTTCTGGAGGTCAGCTGCAAGCTGGCACCCCCCAGATCTCAGGAGCCCACCACACACGGGCACGCTGGCCCAAATGGCCACCTGAATGAACTATATTCTACACATAAAATGTGGAACACGGACGTAATACTGAGTGAAAGAAGTCATACATTACAATTTTTCACACCATGCTATTATTTCATTTACATAAAGCTTCAAAACTGGCAAAATTACTCTTTTGTCTTAGAAATCAGGAGAGCTACTGTTCTTGTGGAGTGGATCATTGGCCAGCAGCAGATAGGAATGACGGTGGGTTAGGAAATTGTCTCTCCCCTGAAAAGCACCACAATGTGTAGAGCTTGCCAGCTTGCCAGTTCGTGAAAGTAACCCTGTGATGACCAACTTCAAACCATTAATAAGCCATCACTATTACAGAACTTGGAAAAGATAAAATCTTCCCTCTGTGCTGGTAGGAGACAGTTTCAGGTGGTCAGTAAGTCCTGTTTCTTGGCTTGGTATTGCTACACATTAAACTCCCGCCCTTTGTACGTGTGTGTGTGTGTGTGTGTGTGTGTGTGTGTGTGTGTGTGTGTGTACATATGCTTGCATACAGATTAAGTCATGTGAGCAGACTATAAAAACTTGATGGGAGGTGAAATTACATAAAAATTTCAATTCATATGTGTTTTATTACACACATTTTCTGTGAAATATTTGTGTAGATACTGTGTACATAAAATTAACATGTGTACGTATGTATATATAAGTATAAAGTTTAATTCTAATTGTACTACTGAGCATAACAGCTAATCTTAAGACATTGCAAGTTTGTTCATGTTCAACATCAAGAAATGAGAAAACTCAGTGGAGGATAACCCAAGTGCTTGGACACCTGCATCAATGTGGGAGACCCAGCTGATGAAGTTCCTGACCCCCAACTTCAGCCAAGCCCAGCTCTGACCCCTAACTTCAGCCAAGCCCAGCTCGGGCCACTCAGTCATCTGGGCTATGAACTAGCAAAGAAGATATTCCCACTTGGGGCAGGGGGAGGTCTCTCTCTCTTTTTGTCTCTTTCCCCTGCTCTTTTTCTCTCCCTCTCACCCTGTTTCTGTAACTCTTTCAAATAAAAATAATAAGCAAGTAATTAAGTCCCATTAACAATCTATTCAAAGAAATAAAATCCGAAATTGGAAATATTGTTTCTTCCACTGAAATTCAGCTCCAGAGGCCCAGCAGTCAGCTCGCCCAGCACTGGCTTGAGATAGTTCGCACCTGCACTGGGAAGTGTCCTCCACACTAAGTTACTCTTCAGCTGAGTGTAAAGGTTACCACTAATGCAGCTTCCTCTCAATAAGCAGCAAACTGAAACGCTTGCATGTAATTTGCTTCTGCCATCATTATTTTCAAACAGACTTGCAATAACCTTGAAAAACAGTGAAGCCCCAGAAATCCATTCCATTTACAGAACTGGTACTACTTCCACCTGCAGTAACTTCATAATCGTAGCTAGCCTCTCGTTGGAGTCTAGGATGTACCTATCATTTCACAAATCCTGTTAAGTTGGGAATTATCTTCATTTTACATCTAAAATTTTACATCAGTGGTACAACTTGTGTGCAAGGTAGTCAGTTCCCTCTGATTTCAAGGCCATCCTCTCTCCTGCACCACACTTACCTTCTGAAGCAGGTGACACTTCTAGTCTGGCCTTGAGGGCCCCACCACACAGATGCCTTATTGGAAAGGCAGATATACACAGAAGAGGAGAAACAGAGAGGAAGATCTGCGTCCAGTGATTCACTCCCCAAGCAGCAGAAACAGTAGGAACTTAGCCAATCCGAAGCCAGGAGCCCAGAGCCTCTTCCGGGTCTCCCATGTGGGTGCAGGGTCCCAAGGCTTTGGGCCAGCCTCAATTGCTTTCCCTGGCCACAGGCAGATAGCTGGATAGGAAGTGGGCTGCCAAGACACCAACCAGTGTCTGTATGAGATCTGGGTGCATACAAGATGAGGACCTTAGCCACTAGTCTACTGCACTGGGCCTCAGAGTTCCTAAGCTTCAAAGCACACCCTTATCAGGAATGCAGATATTTCGAGGTTGTTTTTCCTATCATGGCACTTTTCCAAGTGCTATTTTGAATTCCAGGGTAAATGTGTCATTGATTGATACAAGGAAAAGGAAAAGGAAAGAAAGAAGGGGAAAAAAAAAGAGAAACTATCTAATTTGTAAAAAGTAAATTCTCATGACTTGTGCTTTCAACTAAATTTAATACTTAATGTCTTTTGTTTCCTTTATTCTCTCCAGTTGGGTTTCTTTGCAAAGCCTTCAGAATGTTTGACCCACACCTTTCCTCTAAAATCTCTGAAGATAAAATAAAAATGTCTCCTCTACTTCATAAACTCACTAATTTGGGCAAGATCTTATATTTACATTTTCATTTCACTCTATGTTGTTTTAATATTTTATACAGGACTTATAAAGCATACTTAAGCTATTTCCAAGGTGTATTTTTCTTACAATGGAGCTGGAATAGGGGTTGGGAATTATTATTTGATTATGAACTAGAATAATTCAATGTCAACCCAGGGATAAAAGCTATCAAAATAATCTGAGAGAGAGAGGAGATCTTCTAAAGGAAAAGAACTGAATAGGAAGCAGAGATCTAGCTGCCTATTCAGTTAAAGTTTGTGGGGGATGTGACTGCCCACTTACTTAACCTGTTCATTTCCTTGCTGCATGGAACTTCAGATCCCCAGACACCTCCTCTACCTTTTCCTCCTTAATAGGCTTCTGAAAAAGTTTTTATGGGAAAAGTATTTTCCACAACTGAAAAAAAAGTGAAAGTTTTAAAGCAGTCAAATAAGATTTCATGTGACTTAGCTTGTTTCAGCATAATCTCAATATGCAAAATCCTGGCAATAAACATGGGATCAAACACTGAGAAAGCTGGGAAGGGTCAGAATGCTGGGAATTGACATCCTCCTCCAGCTTCTCCCCAGTCAGCACAGACTGAATTTACAGCCCCACAAATAGGAGTGCATTAGACACAGACAGGTTTAGCACAAGTTTTTAAGAAGAGCTATTTTCTTCATGGAGAATATCAGCTACTTATACAGTGGTCACATAGATGAAGTAAAAATAGTTTTTGTAAGATATCAACACATTTTTCTTCATTCTCAACAGTAAACACAAGAAAAAAAAACCACATTTTTATGTCTCCTCAATCCGTACTTAAGTGCTTCTGTGTTTTTCTCTAGCTTCCGCAAAATGCTAAAGAACTTCTAGGCGTCAGATATGCCTTGTAATAAATTGGAAAATGTGAAAATGTGACTCAGTCAGTACTTTATGCCCGTCTATGGCTAACTTCATCACAGAACTGTTGTCTTCCACAGCGTTTCACGAAGGACAATGGCCATGTTTCCAACAGGGTGCACTCTTGCCTGGCTCCCTGTCCATGGAGCTGTCACACCTGTTATTGCTGGCTGTGCATAAGTGTGTGGCACTCAGCTTCTGCATACCTGAGTAGATTCAAACTTGTTTGGATATCTTTTATCTGTTTTATCTGTTAAGCATCTCAAGTAATCCAAAAAAGATCTGACTACAAATGACTGTGCCCTACAAGCCTAGAAATTTGGTGTGGTTGATTATTTAATCAGTGATGATGAAATCAGCCACTAACTGCAGCCACACTTTAAGGTGACTCAATAGCTCACTGAAGCAGGGATAAGAATCGTCAAGCACCACTTGGAGCTTTGCATACACCAACTCAGAAAATCAGTGTCTTTCATGTCAGTGACATCAAGCATCAGTGTTAAAGTAGAATGTGGAGGTCAACTAGCCTGATAGTGCTACTCAGGGAAAGAAAGAAAATAAAAAGGAAAGGAGGGAGGGAGGAAGGGAGGGAGGGAAGGAAGGAAGAAAGGAAGGGAGGGAAGGAAGGAAGGAAGGAAAGAAGGAAGGAAGGAAGGAAGAGAGAAAGAAAGAAAGAAAGAAAGAAAGAAAGAAAGAAAGAAAGAAAGAAAGAAAGAAAGAAAGAAAGAAAGAAAGAAAGAAAGAAAGAAAGGAAGGAAGAAAGAAAGAAAGGAAGGAAGGAAGGAAGGAAGGAAGGAAGGAAGAACGAAAGGAAGAAAGAAAGAAAGAAAGAAAGAAAGAAAGAAAGAAAGAAAGAAAGAAAGAAAGAAAGAAAGAAAGAAAGAAAGAAAGGAAGGAAGAAAGGAAGAAAGGAAGAAAGAAAGAAAGAAAGAAAGAAAGAAAGAAAGAAAGAAAGAAAGAAAGAAAGAAAGAAAGAAAGAAAGGAAGGAAGGAAGAAAGAAAGAGATCCACTCAAAAAGCTGGGGAAATGGTGTTAATCCTGCCAAGTATCAAATTAAATGATTACTTCTAGATAAGTTGTAACTCCTCATGAGTTATGAGCCAATTATTAACCTTTTAGCAACTAACCTTTTTCTGCATGAAGATGAAAACTGAGTTTTTCAGAATGATTCATCAGTCAAAATGTGTGCCAACTTCTGAGGAAAGTGATAGGATTAAAATACTCCTGTTGGTAAAGACTGTTTTTGATACACTGCCAAGAGGATCTTTCGCATCTAAGTTTACACCCAAACTCTGGGAGAAACGAAATGTGTTTATAGGAAAAAATCTGCATATTCACTGACAATTTAGTGGAAAATATAAATTTTTCTAAAGTTGACATTTCATTGTATATTCATTATTTTGTCTTCCAAATTTAAAAATCTGATAATATATAAAATCCC